GTTCGATCTGACTACTTAGCCCATGTTTTTGGAACCAATGAGGGGAAAAATGTTAATCAATTATTCTTTGCTCCTTATAATGACAAGTAAGTGTAGTTTCTTTTTATTTTTTTTTATAGATCTGAGTTATGTTAAATCCTCAAATTTTAATTAATCCCATTACTATGTATTTATTTTACAATATGTCTAGTCTGCATTGGACGTTAGCGGTGATTAGTCCATGGAATGGGTTGGTGTATTGGTTAGATCCACTTGGAGCAGAAAACGAAATCAACTCATTTGCACAAAAAATCATCAATGAGTATGTACTACTAAAATATTCACTTGGTTAACTTCTTGTGTTTATCTTATTGTCTAATCAAAATTAATGAAACCGTGCCATCTTGAAATGATTTTGTAGGGGAATAGTTAAATTCAGCATGAAGCATCGAAAAGATATCAAGAAAATAAAAAAGAATCCAAAAATAGGGGGAAGCAACCACGTGTAAGTCATTATTATTTTTAGCATATTTCATACCTAGTAGTGTAAAATCAGATCCTAAACTGTGCTAATGGTTATTTTTTTGTATCAGTGTCCTCTACAATCTGCATACACAAAGCATTGTGGTTACTTTGTATGTCGCTATATGCTGGACATTATACAGAACAGAGTATTATGGATTTCTGAGCAGGTATATTCAACATACATGTCATTTAAACTTGGTATTTTATTTATGCATGCATATGTTAACCCCTCTGTCTCCTCCCCCTCTTGCATTTCCTTTGGTATTGAAGATTACTCCCATCTTGATAATTGGACTGTGTTCAGAACTTGAATTGCTTGCTTTATTGATGGCCTGTGATTACCATGTTTGATCACCTTTGTCCAGTCAATCAAACCCATTTATAGTTTATAACTGTCAATATTTGGAGAATGACCATGTAAAATAGGAACTGCTGATTATAATGAAGGCAGAGTAGGTTACATTGAACTTTCAAGTACTAAGAAGTTTTTTTTTTTTTTTGAGGAAAAAGTACTAGGAAGTTTTTTAGTACGCACCTGTAAGCTAACTACTGATGGGTATATTGAACTTCATAATGCTTGGATTGTGTATAATGATCACCAGTTTTTGCTTGTTGGGTTAGTAGCTTTAATTACCTGACTGAAGATAGTGGCTTTAGCTGTTTGCTGGAATTACATGATAAGAATAATGTGGTTAAGATAATCACCTCTAAACTCAACAAACGGAGATCGAATCGCCGATAACAGCACCTTCATCACACAAAACTGAACCAGCTC